ACCGCTTTTAGTATTCTGTGCTTTCATTTTGGAGAGTTTGATAGTGATATCTTGATGTTTTTCTTTTGGCGTCTAGTGTGTTTGGCATTTATGGAGTTTCTTGTATGTGTATTTCTTCATTTTTCATTATAACCTGGAAAGTTTTCTTCTACTATCTCTTCCATAGTTTTTTATTATTTTCTTCTACCCTCCTAGAATTCCATTCACAGAAATACTGTTTTATTTCATACAACATGATTCTAATGTTTTCTTCATTTTCCTTTTATCTCCTGTTTTATCTTCTTTTAAGTTCTCATTGTGGATCTTCTTTCTCACTGACTCTCTGTTAACATCTCTTCTACTCTTTTTTTGTGCCTCCATCAAATTAAGAGTTTATGTCATTTCAGTGTTGATTTTCTGGATTGTATTTCTTTGTTCTTCTGTTCTCTGTAGTACTGTGTTCATGGTGTCCTCTCTTTTGATTTTTTTTTTCTCCTCTTTCTGTACCTCTTATGGCTTCAGCTCTTTTAGTACCAGTTCTTGGAATTCTGAGAACTGAGCATATTTCTTCTGCTATTCTATTGAAGAGGTATTTTTTGAGTCCTTGATCGGAGGTGCCTTTTTTAAAAGACTTCTTTTGCTTTTCTATACTGTTTGACCTTGCCTGCTGCATCCTAGCCATTATATAAAGGGATGATAGTGTATGCCGGTGTTTTCCCCTTCAGCTGACAAAGCCTCTGAAGGGGGAGCTTGGAGCTCCCCAAGAATATTGCTCAGGACATTTTCCTCCAAGACTGGGTGGTTCCTGCTCCATGGTGTTCTCTGCTAGCAGTGTGCTTGTGTCTTGAGGCTGGCTGGGAGGGACCACTTCCACCTTAATTAGCAGAGTCTTTGCATAGAGCTGGGAACTATCCAGGAATGCAGTCCGAGAGGTTGGTGCCCAGGACCTTTGCAAACACAAGTTGCTGATAAGTCTTTTCTCCGATCCTCATTTCACATTCTTCCTCTTAAGTCCAACTTCTGGAGTGATTAGCTTAGCATACAGATTATATAGGTATGGTGAAAGGATCCAGCCTTGACACACACCTTTTTTTTTTTTTAACCTTGCAGTGTTCTTTGCTCTATTCAAACAACAGCTTCTTGATCTAATTCCAAGTTTCATATGGACATAATTAAGTATCCTGGTCTTCCCAAAACAGTCTAATGATTTTTAGTATTCAGTAAAACACAAATAGATATTTTTATTGTATTTCCTGCTTTCAAAAGAATTACTGTGGAAATAACATAATCAAGCAACAGTTATAGTAAGGAAGAAGTTAAAGCACAATTGAAGGCATTGGCAAAAAAGTAAGGCTCCAAGAATAGATGAAGTATCTTTTGACATGATCTAATAAAGAAATATAACTCTGGACATGCTCACCAGGCTGGGAAAAGGAATCTGGAAGAAGGCTACCTGGCCAGCTGACTGGAAGAGATCCATATCTGTTTCCATTCTCAAGAAAGGTGATCCAACATCTTTGAAAATTACTGAACAATATCATTAATACCATATACAAGCAAAATATTGCTGAAGATCACCTAAAAATGGATAGAACAGTGGTACACTGACAAAGAACTGCCAGAAGTTCAAGCTGGGTTTAGAAGAGGCCATGGCACCTGGATTATCACTAGTAATGTCAGATGGATCTTGGCTGAAAGCAGATTAGTTGACAAGATAATTGTCTTTCAGATTTCTTGGCATAAATGAATAAGCATCTCCAGTACTGCATCTGTTGAAACATCTCAGTGGGTATTTCATCAGTTTCTGAAACCATGGTTTGTTTTGGGGGTTTGGTGTTTTGTGTATGTGTGTTTCCCCTCAGTCCTTTCAGGGCTATTTGGACTTCTTCCTCTAGTACCATGGTTCTTGATCATTTACTGCCTCTTGAAATAAGGTTGAACATCAGCCAGTTCTTTTTGGTACCTAAACTCTATTCTGTTCATCTTCTGTACATTTTCCTACATAATTCATTATTTTGTCCATAAAAACCTTCACTATTACAGCTTAAGGCTTTAATTTTTTCTTTAGTTCTTTCCTGTTTTGTTCATTTGTGCCTTTTCAGCACTTCTGTTCTGCTCTCTTATTTCACAAGCTCTTTCATTTTCTTTAGCTTCTTTACATTTTAGAGTAAGTCTCATAGACTTTTCTGATATCCATTTTGGGATTTCCTTTCGTTTTCTTGTTTGTTTTGTTTTTAATGACCTTTAACTTCATCTCTGTGCCTTTAATGCCATCCCAAAATTTTCCCGATATTTACTCATTTCTGTTCAGTGCATCACATTTGTTGATATGGTCTCTAATGTGGTATCAGGACTAGAGAAATACTCATAAACAACCTGCATTTTGCAGATGACGTAAGCTTGCTTGCTGAATGTGAGGAGAACTTGAAACACTTACTGCAGAGGATCAGAGACTACATACAGCCCTCATTACATCTCATGAGATTACATCTCATCCTCAAGAACACAAGAAAGTCCTCACCAGTGGGCCAATAGGCAGTACTGTGCTAGATAGAGAGCAGATTGAAACTGTCAAAGATTTTTCTTACTTAGATCCAGTCAACACCTTTGATACTAACAGTCAAGAAATGAAAAGACGTATTGCACTAGGAGAGTCTGCTGTCAGGGATCTCTCCAAACTACAGAAGAACAATGAGGCCAATGTAAAGACTAAGGGCACATGATTCAAGTCTTGATCTTTTCAGTCGCCTGCTGTGCATCTCGAGCTGGAAAATGAATAAGGGTGATAGAAGAAAATTGAATGCCTTTGAGTTGTGGTGTTGGAAAAGAGTACTGAGTGTTTCATGGATTTCCATAAGAACCAACAGATATATCTTGGAGAAAGTGCAATTAGAGTGCTTCTTAGAGGCAAGGATGGCGCCTTTCACGTACTTTGAGCATATTGTTAGGAGAGGCATTCCTTAGAGAAGGACATAATGCTTGGAAAGGTGGAGAGTCAGCACTCAATAAGAAGGATTGACACAGTGGCTGAAACAATGGGCTCAGGTATATCAGAGATGATGAATATGGCATAGGATAACAGGATTCAAATCTTAACAACATCCATAGATAGTCTTTTACCCACAGTAACAATGTTGTTGTTGTTTTTATGTGC